GCACCTACAGGAGCTAGAAAAAGAACAACAAACAAAACCTAAAACTATCACAAGAAAATAAATAGTAAAGATTAGAGCAGTAATAAGTGATCTAGAAACTAAAAACACAATAGAGCACATCAGTGAAGCCAGGAGCTTGTTCTTTGAAAAAAAAATCAGTAAAATTTATAACCCTCTAACCAGACTTATCAAGAAAAAAAAGAGAAAGAACTCAAATAAAATCACAAATGAGAGAGGAGAAATATAACCAACACCACAGAAATACAAATAATCATAAGATAAAGTTAATGGAAAACTACATACCAACAAATTGGGCAACCTGGAAGAAATGGATGAATTCCTAGAAAAATATAAACCAAAACTGAAACATGAAGAAATAGAAAACTTGAACAGACCGATAATCAGCAAATAAATTGAGTAGGTAATCAAAAGTCCAGGACCAGATGGTTTCACGGGTGAATTCCACCAAATATTTGAAGAATTCTTTTTAAACTATTTATTCTTTTTAAACTATTCTTTTTAAACTATTCCAAAAAATGGAAAAGAAAGGAGAACTTCCAAATTCATTCTGTGAGGCTAACATTACCCTGATACCAAAACCAGAGAAGGACTCCACTAAAAAGAACATAACTACAGGCCAATATCCCAGTTGAACGTGGGTGCAGAAATTCCCAGTAAAATACTAGCAAACAATACATTTAAAAAGTCATTCATCATGATCAAGTGGGATTTATTCCTGGGTTGCAAGGGTGGCTCAATATTCACAAATCAATCAATATAAAAGAAAGGATAAGACCCGTATGATCATTTCAATAGATGTGGGAAAAGCATTTGACAAAGTACAACATCCATTCATGGTAAAAACCCTCAAAAACAGGTTTAAAGGGAACATACCTCAACATAATAAAGGCCATACGGTAAAAACCCTCAGCTAATATCCTCCTTAATGGGAAAAAACTGAGATCTTTTCCCCTAAGGTCAGGAACAAGACAAGGATGTCCACTCTTAGCACTTTTATTCAACATAGTACTGGAAGTCCTAGCCACAGCAGTCAGATAACAAAAAAATATATAAGTCATCCAAACGAGTAAAGAAGAAGTAAAACATTCACTATTTATATTGACATGAGACAATATGTAGAAAACCCAAAAGACTCCACCAAAAAACTACTAGAACGAATGAATGAGTTCAGTAATGTCACAGGATACATAGTCAATGTGCAAAAATCTGTTGCATTTTTATGCAACAACAATGAAGCAGCAGAGAAAGTAAGAAACCAGTCCCATGTACAACTGCAACAAAAATAATAAGACACCTGGGAACAAACTTACCAAAGAGTAAAAGGCCTGTACTTTGAAAACTATAGAACACCGACCAAAGAAATTAAAGATTAAAGTTTTAAAAATTAAAAAAAAAAAAAATTAAAGATTACCCAAGGAACGGAAAGGGAGATACCTAGTCTACTGGCTCCATCAGTAGAGCATGTGACTCTTGATCTCAGGGTCATGAATTCAAGCCCCACATTGTGTGTAGAGATTAGTTAACAAAAGAAAAAAAAGTATACAAGAATTTTCAAGTGCATAGGTAGGTGTCAGCACCCCTAAGTACCATGGTATTTAGTGGTAAACAACATGGTATGTTCAGGGTTCAGCCATATAGATGTCTTTCAAATGCCCTGTTGCTTCCTTGTCCTTCCTGCCACTCACTCATTTCATGCAGGTTATGGTTATGTTGCTTGTTTCCAACCACTTGTATTTTGGAGTTTGTAGGGCAACCTTTTCACCTAGTTTTGCTTTAAATTTTTGTGGGTTTTTTTGGCTTTGCTATCTGGTTTCTTTGTTTTCGTGGATGATTTGTCAAGATTAAAAGACCTATTCTTGGGGCTCCTGGGTTGCTAAGTGGGTTAAAGCCTCTGCCTTCGGCTCAGGTCGTGATCCCGGGGTCCTGGGATCGAGCCCCGCATCGGGCTCTCTGCTCAGCGGGGAGCCTGCTTCCTCCTCTCTCTCTTCCTGCCTCTCTGCCTACCTATGGTCTCTGTCTGTCAAATAAATAAATAAAATCTTTGAAAAAAAATAAAAATATAAAAAATAAAAGATCTATTCTTGTGGCTTCTCAGATTCCCTCTCATTTTCAGGACTTGAATTTGGAATACTTAGGGAGGCATTGCAGAATTTTGAACAGAGGAGTGACACGATCTAACTCTATCTGGTGTACATATTGCAAATAGACCACAAGGATGTAAAGGAATATAGGGAAACCATTAGAAGAATGTTGTAGAAATCCAAGTGAGAGATGATGTTGGCTTGGACTGGGGGGTGGGGAGTAGTAGCTGTGGATTTAACGAGAAGTGATCATATTTGGATATATTTTGAAGTATAAGTTGATAAGATTTTCAGATGGATTGGATGTGGAGTCAGAGTAGTCAAAAGACAGCTCCAGTTTTATTTTATTCTGCATAGTAGAAGAATGGAGTTGTTTTCAACTAAGATTGGGAGGGCCATGGATATAGTAGACTTTGAGGATCAGATCAGGAGATAAGTTTGGACTGTGTTGAGCTAAGATAGTTATTAGACTTCTATGTGGATCTTTATAATTCCACTATTTCATGGACTGAAAAAGACATTGCTTATTATAAAAAATTGGGAAATACAGAAAAGTTAGATAAAAATTTAAAATTCACAATCATATCACTGTCATTGTTAGCATTTTGATACGATTCTGTAAGTATAACATCAAGTTGAATTTCTGTTGTGTACACATGCAAAAAAATCCACTTTCACAAGACATAACCTAAGCATTTGTCAAGAATGAGATAGTCTTTGAAAACATGACTTTAAAAAAGATTTATTTATTTATTTTAGAGAGAGAGAGTGCACGACCAGGTGGAGGGACAGGAGGGAGTTTGAGAGAGAGAGAAGCAGACTCCCCTGCTGAGTGTGGAGCCCAATGTGAGGCTTGTCCTCATTATCTTGAGATCATAACCTGAGCCAAAATCAAAGAGTTGGATGCTTAACCTACTGAGCCACCCAGGTGCCCCTGAAAATAAGAGTTTTAACGGTATTTCGTCTTTTGTTTTCATCTAATGAATAAAAACCATATGGGTTGTATACTCTTACCCATTCCTTTTTTGCATGTTAGTTGCATCCCTGACGCTTGCTTTAGTCTAGAGAATTTGGTTTCCTGTAGTAGTTGCTGTGTATCATAATTCAGACCTGTGGTTTGGCAGCCTGCCTGGCTGTAGTGTTTAACTAAGACTCATGTAAGATCCATGCTTTTAAAGTGAGTGTTTTGGAAGATTTTATACACCTCAGTTATTTAGGATTTTGGCATTGTCCCCATTCCCTGAGGACGAATGGCTTCCACTATGAATGCTGCAGAGAGAAGGGAGCCTGGACACTTAGGACTGGGGAAGAATGTGCAGATTCACAGGTGTCTTGCCTCGCAGTGCTCTGCCTGGGATGTGAATGTTGAAATATTCTAGTCTGGTAGGCTCTGTGTCTTAAGGTCCCAGTGAAACTGGTGGGTACTGGAATGGTAACTAAATTATACTCTAGTACACTTCACGCCTAACTATTGGTTAATTTCTAGAAAGACCCAAGGAGTAAGGGGGATTTGATGAGCTCCATCCAGCTGCAAGTTGTTGTGTAGAAAAGATTATTAGGCGTTCTGAACAAAGCTCATTTCTCTCTAATAACTGTATCCTTTTGAACAGAGATCAACAAACTTTCTGTAAAGGACCAGGTATTTTTGGCTTGACAAGCCATTCAGTTTTTGTTGTAATATTCAGCTGACTTAAAGCTAAAGCAGTCATACGCCATTTGGAAATAAGTGGGGTGGCTCTCCACGTGTAGGTCTCCGTTCTCTAAGTGCAGCAGGTCTCTCATGTGTGTGAAAGTTGATGGGGTCCTTCTGTAAGGAAGGGTGTCACCTGAGACACCCACACACAGACCCTACATGCCCTTAAGGTGTAGTCTCACAGAATCCCAAGGAATAATCATTTTATTTTCTCTCCCTTTGAGGGATTCATTGTCAGATAATGATTATCTGCAGTGAGAGCTCATATACTTTTAAAAAGGGGGTCTTACTTTTTATTAGAACACTATTTTGAAGGACTTCTTATGTATTATGATGTAAAACTCTCTTAAGTTTTCTTAGCACTTTTATTTTGCAGTCATTTGGCCAAAATCTGCTAATTCAGATCCATTTTAAATCTAGGTGTCATTTCATGTTTATTTCACTTGTATTTATTTATTTTATCCTAAGATTATGAGTTATTTAGTCAAATATAGGGAGTATAACCATACAAGTACAAAGTAAATTTCTAGATCAAGAAGAGATAGAATACATTTATTCTGTAATATTGAAAATCATAAATAGTGCTTCTTTCCTTTCTTTAGAAAAAAGGATTCTTCAGGAAGTCAACAGAAAAAGAGAACAAATGAATGTTTTGCATACTTAGTGGATTATGGTTAGCTCTTTTCCCCCTAATATTTTATTATAAAAATTTCAAACATACAAAGAATTGAAAGAATTATACCTACTAGCTTTAATTAATGTATTGCTGTATTTGCTTTACCACACATCTCTCCGTCTGTCTGTCCCTCTAGTCATTCATCAGTCCATCTTATATATTTATTTGTTTAATTTTGATGCCTTTCAAGTAAGTTGAGCAGCTGTTTTTCTAAGCAGTCTTAGCTTTGTTATTATTTTTTTGTGTGTGTGGATGTTATAATTGTTAACCCATTTTGTGCAGATATTTTCCGCTGATCATTTTTCCTGTTTCTAGAAATGAAGTTGCTGATAATAGCTATCAAATTTAGGACGTTAAAAAAGGGTCTGGTAAATAGTGTTAAGGCTGATTAGTGTTCCCTTTCTCAACAGATTTATAACCCAGACACTTACAGTTTTTAAAGCTATCAAAAATAATTTCCATTGGCCTTATAACATTATTATTTTTTGGTATTCTAAATAAATACTTATTCATATTATATTGTTTTCAGAGTGGAAAGATCTACAGACCAAGTCATCAAGCCAGTCAATGTGGGAGCACTGTCAAAATGGGTTGGGAAGATACCCCCAGATGTTTTACAAGACATGGCAGTGATTGCACCCATGCTTGCCAAACTTGGATATGACCCATATGCCAATCCACCTAACTATGGAAAACCTGATCCCAAAATCCTTGAAAACACTAGAAGGGTAAGTGAGATTTTCAAAGTAAATTGAGAAAACTGGATATGGAATTTGGGTCCTGAAAGGTTTTTTTCTTATTTTCCTTCTTATTTTTTATGATCAGAAATTTAAGTTTGAAAAATTCTATTTGTAGAATGCTTTATCATGAGAACACTTCCACTGCATTTGAAGGGTAACTGTGACTTTTCCCAGGAATTATGGGGACAATTCTTTAAACTCCTTTGTCCAGTTTCTAGAAATGGTGCTTATTGTTGGGAAAATTTATTCTCATAGATGATTACCACAAATTTGCCAGAAAAAAACCAGAATTATTAGTGATCTCAACTTCTAGGTTTTTTTTTTTCCTTTGAACTTAGTAACTACTTTACTTTTAAACCTTTGTTTAAATGGGGCATGATTTCTTGATACTTGAAAACTGAACATTGACTACATCAGAAGAATTATTAAGCAGATATAATAAGTTACCTTCTGACTGAAAGTTGTTATTAAAGTGTAATTACAGGGGAGCCTGGGCAGTTCAGTCGTTGGGCATCTGCCTTTGGCTGAGGTCATGATCTCCAGGTCCTGGGATCGAGCCCCGAGTTGGGCTCCTTGCTCAGCAGGAAGCCTGCTTCTCCCTCTCCCACTCCCCCTACTTATATGTTCCGTCTCTCACTGTCTCTTTCTCTGTCAAATAAATAATCTTTAAAAATAAATAATAAAGTATAATCACAGCTTTTTAAAAAATAAATTGTGCTCAGATCTTTAAAATATTGTTTCAGAAAAGCTGAAAACCCGAAGAGCTAATCTGAATATATACCTTTCCCATATAATTTCTATCAAATAAGAATTTTCTTTTTTTATTGTTTAAAATATACGTAACACTACATTTAGCATTTTGGCGATTTTTAAGTGTAGAGTTAAGTGGTGTTAAGTACATCCACGTTGTTGTGCACTGCCACCACCATCCATCTCCAAAACTTTTCATCTTTCCTAAACTGGAAGTACATACTCATTACCTTTTTCCCCTCCTTCCAGCCGCTAGCAGCCATGGTTCTACCTTCTGTCTCTGCATGCATTCTTTTCTAAAACTGAAGTTTAAACAACACAACTATGTTAGCATAAGTTTAGTGATAGCCTTGATGTCAAGATTAAAATTCCTTCCTTCTCTCAGGTATTCTTTTGCTTATATGTTAGTGTCCTTCTCTCCCTATAACCTTACATCATCTCTTTATTCTGTCTTTCTTTTGATACTTTTAACTGACAAACACACATTTCATGAGGTTAATTCCATGCAGATTTTTTCCTTAGGTATTACATACTTCAATTTTCCTTTTTCACATTAGTGGCTATGTGTATGAAGAGCTAACTTCTTTTAAACCATCATATATATAGCTAGTTTTTAAAATTTTTTTTAAATAACCTTTATTCTCTTTATGATTTCATATATACAGATATTTTATTATAAAATTATAAATTTTATAATACTTATTTTTATTTATTTATTTATTTATAAAAATTTATAAATATAAAATTATAAATTTTTATAAATTATAAAAATAGAAGTTTGGTGTATATAACATAAAATTAAATAGATAAGAGAAGAAAATAGACTTATGTCTATTATGGTATGTCTTGCATACACATACCATTCTTAATATTTCAGTGGATTTCCCTTTCTTCTCTCCATATTGTTAAACAAAGGTAAGGTTGCATTGTTTTATAATGTTAATTATGCACACAAACACGATTTTGTATCCAGCCCTTTCCTTATAATAGTCATGAGCATTTTGCTTTCTTTATAAAAAAAGATTTTATTTATATGACAGAGAGAGAGCAGAGGCGGAGGGAGAAGTATACTCCCCACTGAGCAGGGAGCCCAATCTGGGACTTGATCCCAGGACCCTGGGATCATGACTCAGGCTGAAGGCAGATACTTTAATTGACTGAGCCACCCAGGTGCCCCTGAGCATGTTCCCTTTTAAACAAAACTTTTCATGGTTACATAATATATTATCCTATGAACCACCTCAAATCCTTTCTGAAACACAATTGTAGGTCAGTAAATGAATGAATAAATAAAATATTTTTCCCTAGTATATGTTCTGTAATTCATTTTATCATTTTCCTTTTGTTGCTTACAGTTTTCTGTTTGACAGATTACGCTACAGTGAACATCTTTGCACAAAATACATTTTAGATTTTTTTTTAAGGTTAGATAAATGAAAGTAGAATTAAACCAGGTCCAGATATCTGAAACTTTTTAAGTTCCTCGATATATGTTGATAATTTCTTTTTAATCTATCTGTATAATAGGTATATTATCTATCTATATCTATGTATATTATCTATATGAACTATCTGTATAATAGGTAATTTTATTTTCTGTTTTTGCTAATTTTAATAGGTTTCATTAATATAATTGAACATTTCCCAGTTATTACCTATATGCATATATTCTTTTATGAACCATCTTTGAAGTTTTAAAAAAAGTTTACATTCTAAAGATGAAGTACACATCAGTCTAACATCCATAATCATAGTCCTTGATAATGTCTTGGTAATTGTTAATTCATAGCTTTCTCTCTTGTACAATAGTGAAATGTTTCTTATAAACCAGAAACATGTACAAATGATATTTAGGGTTTTCCAGGCAGTAGTAGTTTTCCTACATGCAAGCTGACTGGCTAGATTATTCTTGGCCTGCTTGAGTGGTAGGTTGGGAAGAATGCTGTGGTTTGAATTCATGTGACTAGAGAATTTGTTTCATACACACTTGTGGCTTTTTAAAGGGTTTCTAAATGCACACTGGGAAAGAAAAAAATAAAACCTTCCCCCCCATTTCTATTTCTGAAAAAGATGAAGTGTGAACTATAATTGCATCTTTAAGCACTTCATGATAATACATACAAGCTGACATTCTTGTTTTGTGGGGCAGGATTTCATAGCCCTTCTTGTAATCCAAATCTATGTTTTTTTTTAAAGCTTCTTTGCTTGCAAAAACTCAGAGGCTAATATATCCAGCATGAAAGATCATGAAGTTTCATAAAGTGATGCTTAAAAAGTGATCTTTGATTGTCAAGTGTGACGTGAGAATGGCTCCAAAGAAGGAAGGTAGCTAGGGAGATTTTTTTTTTTTTTTTTTTTAATGGTATGGGAGTGGGAAGAAATTCGCATTTTGACTGGGAATGGAGAATCTGAAACTCCAGGCCTAAAAGTGCTGGTTTTCATACAATTCTGGGTAGTCTAGAAGTATTGGTATCTGAGTCAACATATTTGGGGCACATATTGCCCAATTTTGAATAGAAAATCATGTGCTTGATGGTTGCTATGACTCAGATGGTAAATTGGAAATTAAATGGTAACATATTCCATACTCTTTCCCATCATAGTCTCTAATCCCCAAATTCTGGCACGTTTAAGTAAATAGTGGCCTCTTGGTTGCAGCCTTAGACTTCCACTCTCCCATACGTTTTTAATCTTTTTAGATTTACAAACCTAATTGAGAATCTGATGAAATATATGGATCCCTACCTTCGAAATAGAGACAAAGAGATGCACAGAATTTTATCCACAATTTCACTGAATTCACAGGTGTCCCTTAAAACCCCTCGCATTAAGGACTTCTGTTTTGTAGTCCCCGTGATCAAGCTCGTCCACTCATGTGGCTTTGATTATAGACTATTCGCTGATGACTGTAAATCTGTATCCCCCAGTGGGTTTCTTTCCTAAGCCCCAGGTTCCTTATTTCCATCTGCCTTTTGTGTATCTCTACCTACATGCTCACAAAGACTTCAAACTCAGTGACCACAGTAGAACTTATTTTCCAGACTTATTCCATGGTAGGCAGAAGCTCGACGGAATTGTTCACTAGACTGAGCAGGAATCCAGAGCAGGGGTGGGATAGGCTAGCTCATCTACACTTGAAGCATCTGTGTGCCACTGAGAAGATGGGAGGAGCAGAGTCCTCAGGGCACATGAGTCAAGCCAGAAAACAGCTTAAAGACCTGGTTACTGAGCCTGCAGAGAGAGCTGAAAAGCAGATCAAAGTATGAATTGCCCAGTGCAGTTGAAAAGCTGAGTAGTCCGCGCTAATAATGAGCGAGGACTCAGATGGGAAAGCAGTGTCAGCTGTGGCAAGAAGGCGCTTGATCAAAGGCACCGGAACTAGTGTTAGAAGTGTTAGAGATTGTTGATTCCCTGTTCCGTCTTTCCCTGTTAGTGGGAACTCTCTCTTAAAAAATAAACTAAAAATTCCTGATACTAATTTTTCTAGACTTTCTTATGGGTGGGGTAAGCATGTGACCAGTTTTCATCAGGAGATGTCTGCTAGGGTTTTCTGGGAGACATTTAACTTTCTGAGAAAATAAAGAATTGTATGAAGAGAGCTTATCTTTCCCTTCCTGCTTTTGAACATTGCTGTGGAAGAAATCACGTGTGGCTCTTCTGTGGCTACCTGCATATTGTAAGAGAAGATCTCGCTGATACTCTGAAGATGGCAGGAGGAGGACAGAGAAAGAGTCTGGGACCCTTGATTGCTGAGCTACTGAGCCTAGCCCAGGACTGACCATCTACCTTACCTCTGGACTTCTTATGTGTTTGAACTACTTTTAACCAATTATTCTGTAATTGTATCTTAACTGCTAGTGGAGTCCTATTCCTGGGTGTGTGGAGGAAACAAAGCCAACCCAGTGAGGCAAGTAGAGCGAGTCCAAGAGAGAGTCTGGATCTATTTGAAGTCCTGGTTGTCTGTGAATATCATCTTCAGCTCTGCTCTTGCGACATCGTCGTTCACATCCAGGGAAAAATCCCCCCTTGGACTCCTTTCCTGTAATTGGGCTTCTGGGCCATACATAGTAGGAATATTCCAACTCATGCTGTTCTTGGTGAATTTGAAGGATGATAAATCTTCAGCTCTTCCTCATTTCCTTGATTTCTTATACTCAAATTTTAGCTGTTTTAGTTAAAGGAATACTTACCACATTCTCTTAAAATTTTCATAGACCTTCAAAGCAAAAAACTGTAGA